ACCCCAACAAACAAACAAACAAACAAACAAACAAACGATGTTTTACTGTTACCTTCCTACAGGAGCCAACGTTGATAATGGCAGAGTTGTGACGCCTGTTGTCCTTGATTCAGATGTTGTATTTTCCGTTGAATTCTCCGTTTTCATATTCGTACTCATCACTGTTATTTCCGTGGCTTCAGTCATTCTACCAGTAGCAACTATTGTCATGGCTACTGTTTCTGCAGTGGCAGCTGTTGCTTTGGGAGTTGTTTGTCCATCGAGAGTTGTTGCTTTTTCTGTTTCTTGACTTGTTGCATCAGTAGTCTGGGCTGACACCCCTGGCATAACACGTACCAGAACATGAAGTTGAGGGCAGAATACGCATGCTTGTGACTACAGATTTGAATGCTATGTGTGTGGGTGTGTGTGTATTCATTATGATAACCGCGATCACAAGAAAAGACTTATACAAGAGGACAAAACCCTTGGCAGGAACCCAATTTCAGTTGCCACTACCTAATGAAAGTTTGAGAAAGTCAAAATAGAAACAAAAGAAGCCATAAAGACAACATCAACAAATCTAAGGTGTACTGGAGATGAAGAGTCACAGCTGTCAAAGTCAGAGTCACTGTTTTCCATTCCAGAAAGCATTTTATTTCCAAATATAGGAGGCCTCATGCAACATTAGGCATTCAGGTTCTGTTCGGAAATTAAATCCCAAAACCTGCAAATTGATTGAAACTAGCAAACGGGCACTTCGTTTCATTAAGGGGATATTAATTGGCGCGGCATGTACCACACTCAATTCGCAGTAACGTCGGTTCAATTTCAACTGAAAACTTACCAAGACCAGAAGCAAGGACAAGAACGAAAAGCAGTAACTTCATCATGATGGCGGAATTTACAGTGCTTACACACTCAGAGTAAAATGGCACTGTCGCGCTGTTCTCAGCTTGTTGCAATTCAGATATCAGCTCAGTCACATGAATATTACGCTTTCTTGTTTGTCGTTTGTGTGTGTTATTTTATCTTCATATCTACGGAGTTTGGACTTATCGCTGGTCAAAAATATTGACACAGACCTACATCAATCACCAACGAGCCGTGCAAGCTTGCTGCTTGCTACCATTTCGACACTGGGTTTAATAAAGTGCTATAAATGCATGACAATTGAAAGGTCAAGAGAACACTATCGACAAATCTCGATGGAGGAAGCCGTGGGTAACTGCATATTAACTGCAGACCATACAAGTGATAAAACAACACCACCGTCACCGCCGACAGCAACAACAGGTGGCGTCTGGCGTGTGACTAACAATCATAGGGTCGGAAGTTCGAGTCCGGCAGCTGATTACATGTTGTGACCTTGGGCAAGTGTTTTGTCTCCTATTTGCCTCTCTCCTCCCTAGAGTATAAAATGGTACATGAGTGTGGAGATGGTTGTGTTTGATCAGATGTTTGCGCCATAAATGGCAGCAGCGAGCTGCATTCTCCCAAAGGAGCTGGTTTTAGGTATGTTTGTGGCCAGTAATATGGTTTTATTGTACGCATTGCTCCAAAAATCGGTTGTGGTGCATACAGTAAGGAAAAATAACAGTTGACAACACACCGATTTTAACGAACAGTTTTAGCTCTTGGATCTGCCAGTACATGTTCATCAACTGATGTGAGAACCTGACGGTTTATTTGAGGGAGATGAGTTCAAGTAAATGTTGAGGAGCACAGCTGAGCACAGTTGAGGAGCCTGCATGGCTCTTGAATAGAAGATAGATTAGGAAGAACATTTTCTTTGATAGCGGAAGCCAATGTATCTCTCTCATTACAGGTGAAATATTATCTAACGACCCACACACAATCATGCAACCACTGGTGCATCATCCGCAGACGAAATATAGATCTGAGGTTACTGAAAGTCCAATTTAAAGGGAGTTGCACAGTGATTTAACTAGGTGTAAATTTCTTGCTGGAATGGAGACACCAGCATGTGCATACTTTTTTATTCAGGGGCACAGAAAGCCAATGAACTGCTGCTTGTACGGCTTGGACCTCCGCTGAGCCGGGAGTACGTTTTCCTACGCCGTGCTCCACTCTCTTGGTTATTCCACTAAAAATTGCAACAGCCCAAATTTTAACAAACGGATGCATGGATAACCTTCTCTTGGTATATTGTGACACATAATTACGAATTATACGAATGTTGCTAGCAGGGAATTAAATCAGTACTTCTGCACAAACCAGAGATTTGTTCCTCCTTAATTAAACAACAGATCAAATACAAGTCCGCAAGTGCAAGCAGAGTTTCAGAGACTCATGGTCCATGATGGAGGGGCGTGATGATATGAAATCAAGGGCGGATCCCTAAGCAAACATTTTGGACACTTTGCCACGCTACCTTTTATGGCCTTTCCTTGGAGTGGGGCTACTTTTGGGGGCTTTTTACTCGCTCGGGGAAGTAAGAAAAGTGAAACAATCGCATTTCTCCAATTTAATAAAAGAATAATCTTTGCTCCCTTATGGCCCCGCTGCCTCTCCCTGAATCCCCCTTGGATCTGAAGCGAGCAATCAGATCAAACACCGAGTATCAGAATCTGTGTAGTTTGGCTTTGAGACGAAGAAAATTGCAACCCATTTAAGATTGACGGTAGTACAAACAATCTTGCATGTCTTCAAATATGAAGGATCACGCGACAAGGAAACTGGGCAAGTATCTCTGGGTATCATCAGCGAGAACTGGATTTTGAGTCTATATGGCGATGGTCACCTTAAGGCAAAGCATACCGTGAAGAGAACAAAACCCAGGACGACACTTCGTAGGAGTAGCAGAAGGAGTGTCTGCCGGTTGGATTTACCATCAGTAGCCACTTTTTGATCCCTATTTACAAGATATGACTTGTAATGATCCATTGTAAAGTTAGGTCAGTGGTTCCACACCTATCGGCTAGACAAAGAGGTAGAAGTTGGTGATCAACCCTGTCGAAGGAAACAGACAGCCGAGAAGGGCAAGAAGAGCATTCTGATGTTTGCCAATGCAACGGCTTGAGACTGTCAATTTCAGACTCCGACACAAGCAGCCTCAACGCTGTGTCTACGTGCTATCCTCCACGTGGCTTAAGACTTCTTGAGGGGCAACTATCCTTGGTTTCCCTTCTCTCCCTCTACCTGTAGCTTCCATCCATGCGCTTTATTCTTCTCCCTAGGTAGCATTCCCCATAATCGGTGGAATAGACACCTCGTGAACCTGTCTCACTTCATAACCTAGTCTCTGTTGTCAAGACCTTGCTGTAGATAACTTGCCGCCGCGAGAAGGTGCTGTTACGACGAACTTCTATCAGCATAGACATGCTTCGAGAGATGGGGTAAAACTGAACCTCTCTAATTTCCCGAGGCGAAGCCAAGAGAAAAACTATGGAAGCATAAAGTGGTATCTCGCCCCGGCGAGTTATACGCTTTTACCGCAGTGTATTGATATTAAAGCCCGGTAAAATATCAACAGTCTCATAAGTCTTATTCAGCGTGTTATCGGTCTCAAATGTGTTCTTAGGGCGGGAATCAGCGAGATTGGTTTTAGATTGCTTCGGCCAAAAGGAAATCCTGCTTTTCAACAAGGAAAATCTCACTTTTGTTCTCGAATTCCCAACGTTCTGTCGGGTACACAACTTTTTAATTCCCTTAAACTTTTTTCCCAAATGCCAACCAATGCATCGGCCAAATAGGAGCATGTAGAATCGAAGCTATATTTGAACTTTTCGCAGGCACACAAGGGCAATGAAATAGATTTAAAGCAAAATTTAATACGGGTGATTCATAATATCGCGCATCCAAGAGTTTGTAACACGTTGCCAATCACAATGCCCGAAATCTGCCGACCCTTTCCAAATGCACATTGTGTCGACAGATTTCGCGCACTGTGATTGGCCAACGTGTTACAAACTCTTGGGGGAGCGCTAATGTGAATCGCCTGTATTGAAAAACTTATATCATTGGGACAATTAAAGCAAAATGCCACTGTTTGTAATTTTAACTTCTCATGCAAACACCAAATATTACAGACTTGCCAAATTATTAATGACAAAGAAACCTATTTAAGCAAAGCTACAGAAAGCAGCAGTTGTTCATTAGCATAAATAATGATAAATGATAATGACTTACATTGTCATCCGGTAGGAACAGGTCCCACCGGTCAGTGCCCCAACGAAACTAGCCCAGTCGCTGGGCTAAATACATCCATGCTCTGCACCAGATCAGCCTAGCCTAGACAGGCAGGTCAGAGCAGAACCGCAGGAATTCAGCCGCATCAGGGGTCACGACAACAGCCCAGGGTCCGCAGTCCCACAGCGGTGTCAGCCTCGGCCACTGTCCGGTTTATGTGGAGGAGCAGACCAGTAGAAGTGCAGGCCCAATGTTGGCTACGTTGAGAAGTACACTGAGTATACTCCCCAAATTAAATGAGAGTAATGAAGGGATTCTACGATCCTTAATTCCGAAATGAGGAATCATCTGGGAGTGTACTGTCTGGTGTTTAGGCTAACCCACATTTCAAAGAAAGGAATGCAATCTGCACGCATATAAGGGGACCATGTTCAAGTAATCGTCAGTTGGGGAGGCGGGTAAGGTAGCGGTTCTTTCCTCACTTTGCACCAATGAGGCCTGGGTTCGAAAGCGCCATTAAAACAAAACAAGAGCAAAAGGCGTCAGTTTTTCGAAGTACAAATTACACTGGAATCAGCCCCAGGTCTTTCTCCGTGTCAAAATGGAATGGGAGGGCGTCAAGTGATTACTCGTTTCGGTAAACGATAGCAAGAATCCCCAGTCAAACTTCATTATTCTTGTTTAATTTCGGGGGCTTACGAGAGACTTCAAATATTAAGGACAGTGTAATGTCTCAAGTATGGTAACCCCATGAATGCGCTTGACAACAAGCTGCATGTCAGATTGTACGCACAGCGAAATCGCTTTATTTCCATCAATTTCCAAAACCATGGTCAACATCACAATCGATTTGATTAACTACAAACTAAGTATAATTCTTACCTCGGATTCAACAAATAATTCGAGCTATTCTTTCCAAGATAGACACTGGATCTGTCCGGTGTCCTTTACACTTTTAACTTGTATTTGATATTTATTTAGTTCCTATTTTATCATGATTCTATTTTTCCTATCACGTATTCTTTGTTTCCCTTTTACATAGAAATACATTTCATCTTTCAAGGCACTTGTGTGGCAAAACAGTAATTATTAATTATTTACTCAACAGTCTTTCCTAAGACAGAGTGTGCAAACATCATTTGTGGGGCTTCTTCCCGTATATTTTTTTTATAGAACTTGACAAACGTAATTACGTGCGTCGTCCGCGTTTTTTTGTCACGATTGCGCAGTGGTATTTTTAACTTTGACCCTTGATCGTTTCACATGTACATGTCCTTGTTCGATCGATCCACCATGCCTGACTCTCATGATGTACATGTATTCGTTTTTGCAGTTGCGCCGAACTCCACTTGAAAGAAAAAATAATATCCTGGCATCGGTTAAGTAACGTGTATATGAAATAATACCATTTTTGTTACATAAATAAATTGACAAAATAGACTTTTGTAAGGGTAGATTGTTTTTCTCGATAACTTAGTTACTCTAGACGTAACCTTACTCATTAACAGCCTGACTTTAGGTCTATCCTATGTAATATTTCTGTCTGTCCCCGCACGATATCCCACAGAATGGAATGTAAATAATAAATTATTTACAATGTTTTTAATAGTTCTCATAAGAGACGAACTGATTCAACATTATTTTGAGGGCGGGTATACCTATGATGAAATCTGCTGTATACTCCAAATTAGTTGCAGGTAGGCTCACAGAAGTCTTTTAAACAGTAACGTCACTTGTTAGCCCCATAGATAATGCTGATATGCAGGACAATCTGTTCTCATTGGTCTATCCACCATGGCATACACACCCACAAAAACCAACACGTCACATTTTCTGAAACTTAAACCAAGTGGTAATTGTCCCCTAACAATACATTTAATAAACAGTTTGTTATCCACAGCACGTCTAGTATTTCTGAATTCCAAGGTGAAATTGAGAGGACAAAATGGAATATCTGTATCGGTTGGTAG